TACACGACGGCTGTATAGTGTGCTCTCACACCAGGGAGAGCACACAGGGCCCACTCTGCCCGTTCAGAATAAGAGAAAATATTTGCAAATCAGATACTCATTTGGCTTCTAGTATCTGGAAGATATAAAGAACTCCTGCTCCTCAATAATAAAAAGACAATCTAATTAGAAAATGACAAAGAATTCAAATAGACACTGCTCCCAAAAGACCTTGATGGCCAGTATACACATGAAGAGAGATTCATCCTTAGCCACCAGAGAAATGTGTATCCAAACCGCCATGAGTTACTATTTCACAACCCTTAGGATGGCTATGACAAAAAGACAGATGATAACAAGTGTTAGAGATGATGTAGAGAGATTGACATACTCACAGGTTGCTAGTTGAAATGTAAAATGCTGCAGCTGTTTAGGGTAACAGTTCAGCAGTCCCTCCATAAGGTACACTGTGACCCAGAGATTCTACCTCTAGGTTGATACAGAAGAGAAATGAGAAAATATCCATACAAAACACACTCACCAATGTTCATAAGCAGCTGTGTTCATAATAGTTAAAAGGTGGAAACAGCCCAAATGTGCATCAGCTGTCAGAACAAAGTACCACAGGCTGGGTGGCTTAACCAATAGCAATTTGAGTTTCTCACATTCTGAAGGCTGAAAGTCCAAGGTCAAGGTGTGACAGGGTTGGTTCCTCCTAAGGCCTCTCTCTTGGCTTGCAGATGGCATCTTCTCCCTGTGTGCTGACACGATCACTCCTCTGTGTGTATCTGTGTCCGAATCTCTTCTTGTAAGGACACCCGTCCTATTAGATTACAGCCTGCTCTGATGACCTCATTTTGTCTTTCTTCTTTAAAGACCCTGTCCTGAGTATAGTCACATCGTCAGGGACTGAGGGTTAGGACTTCAACATACACATTTTGGGAGGACATAAGTCAACCGATAACACCACGTAGTGGAATGTTTTTGGCCATAGAAAAGCACAAAGTACTCACACATGCTATGGCATGGATGAACCTTGAGAACACCACACTAAGTGGAAGAAATCAGTCACAAAATACAACATAGGGGGACCAGCAGTTAGTGTAATGGCTATGTTGCTGGACTCCCATGTAGTCAACCGCTGTTCGTGGCCTGGACCTGGTGACTTAAACCCACGCCAGGTGCACGTGCGTGCGTGCGTGCCCAAGATTCCGAGAGGAGAACGGAGGAGAAGGGATTGCGGCATGGCCATCCCCCCTGGGGGGGTGATTTCTCGCTTTCTCTCTGTCTCTCTCTGTCTGGCAAGCACACACGCTCTATAGCAAAAATCTCTCAAAACAAAAACAAAAACAAAAACAAAATACAACATAAAGGGCACACAGTATTGGGTAAAGAAAACATATTCTATTATGGTATAATTTCTTTGATAAACATCAGATTTGATTTATAGAAGTTCACACTTCAGTACCTTTTAGAAATATGACTTACTCTAATATTTTTTGCCTGTCCTAACCTCCCTCTGGCTCTGCGTTTGCCATATTGAGATGACTAAGGAAAATTATGTTGAGCTCTGTTTCGAGCTCTGTTTCTTTATTGCAATCCTTGAATACTTTTCCATCTGTAGATCAAACTTGATTTGGTTTTACTTTTTTTTTTTTTTGCCAATCACATTTTCAGAAAATCTAGAATGGTGGTGTGTTTAGAAAAAAATCCTTCAGGGCTGGCAGGTGGTGTGATGGTTAAAGCCACTAGGTTCTCTCATGGCTGACCATGGTTTGAATCCTGGACCTGGCAGCTTACTCTCTCACTTTCGCTTTCTCTCTCTCTCTCTTTCTCTGTTTGGTCAAATTAAATAATAATAATAATAATAATAATAAATGGAAAGAAATCAATCTTTAAAAAAAGAAAAACCTTCAAGTTAATTTTTATAAAATCATTAGAAACTTATTTCCTACTGCAGGTTATGATTTAATACGTAAAAAGATCTGGAAATTTGAAAACCAGTATCGTGGCCGAGAGCTGCCAGGATTTGTAAATTACAGGACATTCGAGTCAATCATAAAAGAGCAAATCAAAGCACTGGAAGAGCCAGCCATAGACATGCTGCACACGGTGACTGGTGAGTTCATGGGTCAACTGTGGACATTGTATGGCTAGGGTGAGAGACGTTTGAATGAAAGCCAGTGCCAGTCTTCACGGGCCTCCTCTTGGGGTGTCTTCCCTACTAGCCACCCAGTCTCTAGTTCTCCAGACACTGACTGTGGTCAGCAGTTGAGGTCAAATCTGATGCTAATTACCTAGAATCAGTGCAGACCCTATAGCTGAAGGCTTGGCACCCCATGACACTCCCCGACTGCATATGCCACTCCAAGTTTCAGACCTCCCATGACATTCTGTAAATCTTGGTTTCTGTGACCCTCTCTTTAGGTTCCACGATTGGACAGAACAGTTCATAGAACTCAGGAACACGTTTTATGATAGGTTCTAGTTAATTATCAAGGATGCAGATGAATGGCCAGGTGAAGAGGTCTTTGTGGGGAGATCAGGTACTTCTGTCCCTGTGGAGTTGGGGGCTGCCAGCCCCAACCCAGGGATGTTTTCCAACCCATAAGCTCCCAGACCTCTGGTTTCGAGTTTTTATGGAGACTTCAAGTAGCCATCATTAAATCAGTTTCCAGTCTCTCCCAAAGCTTTCCACTGAAGGTAGCCTCGGGTCAGAAAATGATGCTTCCACTACACAGGAAATTCTAAGGGATTTGGGAGCTCTGTGTCAGGAAGCGGGGACAAAGACCAAACAGAGATTTCATATCTGCCACTCCTCCCACGCTCCGCTGCTGTGGTTACTGCATGTCGCCTGTTGACTCAGGATGTCACGTCAAGAAACTAAATAACCATTATTGTGGAAGTGTCCCAGGCACCCACAGTGCTGCAGGAGTCTGGGAGGGGTGCATGTGTTGTCACGGGCCATGGAGGAAAAGTGCGTTGACTCTTGGCCCTTCTCGAAGTGCTCAGCTTCCCAGGCGTGTGCTTTCTATGTCTGAATCTCCTCTCCTTGCCCCTTTTTTGACTGTCAGCCTCCTCACTCAGACTTTAGAGGTCTTGTTGAGTGATAAACAATGATCATTTTTCATAAACTCAGCCTTTGGGACGGCCTCTTGGCCTTGTGATCAGGGGAGCTGGATCCCAGATGGCTGATCCCAGTTTGAATCCTGGGCCCAGCAACTTGTAAAATACTCTGGGCACATGTATGTGTGTGCCCAAATGCCCAACCAAAAGGAGAAATAGAGGAGAAGGGATTGCTGTGTGACCATGCTTCATTGCAGGGTGCTTTCTCCCTCTCCCTCCGTCTCTGGTGAGCACACATACCACATGGCAATTTGAGAAAAAAAAAGAAAACCAGAAATCCCTCAGACTTCAATGGTCTCATTTTAGCAATAATCATTAATGGATTCATCTTTAAAAAAAAAATAGAATTATTTACTTAATGTTATTTATTCATTCATTTATTTTTAATTTGACCAGACACACACACACACACACACACACACACACACAGGGGAAGTGAGGAAACAAGCCATCAGTTCTGGGACTTGAACTGTGGTCAGCCATGTGGGAGTACCCAGTACTTTAACCACCATGCCACCTTCTGGCCACTGAATCCATCCTTTTAATTTGAAAGAACTTCCAGTTTTCAAGGTTAGATCTACATATTCCATCTGGCAAAAACCAAAACTTCACAGCTAACTTTGGAACATTTTCCAAACCAACGAAGTAAGCAGAAGTGTGGGGGGGAGAAGTATGCCAGAAGATCTGGTCACTCTTCGAGATTATTTGTGGGGATGTTTCAGGTGAGGATTAGGGAAGAAAAAGCTGTATGTGTGTGCGCGTGTGTGTATGTGTGAGTTCAAGGCCCTACATCTTGTCTACCTATTACTTTTTATAAAATAGTTAAAGTGTAAGTTAAAGAAAATGCTTGGAGTTTTGCCTGGACTAGTGAGAGTTGGTGCAAAAATGTCATGTGTGTTTGCATAAGGGTCAGATGACCACCCACTAAAGGAGAAGTAGTTAAATAACATGGGTCTGTGGGCATTTTTTAAAACGTGAGCTATTTGCCCCCCCCCTTTTTTTAATGGATGAAAACTTAATTTCCTACAGCAGCTATTTATTTCCAGATCAATACACACAAAGATGAAGATACCTTTCAGATAAATTCAAAGTGCATGCACACACACACTTTCATTTTTAAGTTTTGCTACAGGTACATGGTCTGGCACAGGGAGATGGAGAGAGGGAAAGTGAGAAAGCAACCCGAGGAGATGACCCTGCCACAATCCCTTCATTCTCCTCTCAGGATTTTTGGGTGTGCATACACATACACCCGGTGTGGTTTTCAAGCCACCAGGTCTAGGACTTGAACCATAGTCAGCCATATGGAAGTCTAACACCTTAACCACCATGCCACCAGCTTACTCACTATTATTTTTTTATTTTATTTTTTTTGGAGAGATTTTCACTGTAGGGCGCGTGCGCTCGCCAGACAGACAGAGAGAGACATAGAGACAAAAAGCGAGAAATCACCCCCCAGGGGGGATGGTCACGCCGCAATCCCTTCTCCTCCATTCTCCTCTCGGGATCTTGGGCACGCACGCACACGCGCCCGGCGTGAGTTTAAGCCACCGGGTCCAGGACACGAACAGCGGTCGACTACGTGGGAGTCCAGTGACATAGCCATTACGCTAACTGCTGGTTCCCTCACTATTATTTTTTAAATAAGATAGGATATAGAGATCAATAAAAGATTTTCAGTGACTAAAAACAATATTTATTCTATTAGAATAAAATTCTGTGAGGAAGTAGAATGGAAATAAGTGTTTCAAAAACAAACGGTAAATAATGTCATTTTTAAAATTCTAAGTTGTTTTATTTCTTTTCAAATGGGTAATGTGAATATTTAGACTTTACTAATACATTTAAAGTGATATGGCAGTTTTATAACAAACTAATATATTTATAATTTACCAGAAAATACGTATTAGGCCACTGTTTATGCTATACATAGAATAAAAAGTTTAAATGTCAAGTAAGCATATGAGAGGATTTTTTTAAAATAATTTTTTAAGAGAGATTTTTGCTATAGTGTACACGTGCTCACCAGAGGGAGAGTGTCAGAGAGATAGATTGCCAGAAATGACAACCTGGGGGATGGCCACGCTGCAGTCTCTCCTCTCCTCTCCTCATAGGATCATGCATGCACACATGTGAACCTGGCATGAGTTTTAAGCTGCTGAGTCTGGGACTCGAGTTGTGGTTAACTACATGGAATTGCAGCAATGTAACCATTACGCCATCTGCTGGTCCCTATGAGGGGATTTTTAAAAGTTAGTGGAACATAGAATTAAGTAAAGTTTATTTTGATGCAAAAAATTTTGAAATCCATGCATAATACACATTTTTTATGAACTTTTTGGAGACTTTTCATATGCCAAGGTACATTTAGGTTTTCAAATTCTTCCAGGGAATTCTTTTTTTTCTTCAGAAATTATTTATTTAATTTTATTTATTATCACTTTTTAAATTTGCTATAGGGCATGTGTGCTCACCAGAGATAGACAGAGAGAGAGAGCGGGAAAGTGAGAAAGCAAGCTGCCAGATCTGGGACTAGACCCATAGTCAGCCATGGAGTAGTCCAGCGCCTTAACCACTGTGCCACCTGCTGGCCTCTCCAGGGAGTTATTAAGCAAAAGAGTATGGCTTCTTCTTTTAGTGGTAAAGAAGAGAGAAAGGGGAGGGGAAAGAGAGGAAACTTTGTTTCTTACCATTTTATCCTTTTTCGTTGTTGTTGCAATCTATGGAAAGTGTAAGTGATCCCGCCAATACTGAACATCTTTTCTCTCTTTGATCAGATATGGTCCGGCTCACCTTCACAGATGCTTCCGTAAAAAATTTTGATGAATTTTTTAACCTCCACAGAACTGCCAAGGTAAAACAAACCATGTGTTATTAAAAAAATAATAATAATACATTTAAAAAAAAGAACCCTGACACTAGAAAATAGATTTCTTGGATTAAGATCATTCTATATATAACTTTTATATATAACTTTATTATATATATTTGGATAAGCAAATAATCAAGGTCACTAATGAACCAAGCTCACTAATGAACCTTACTAAGGATGTACTACCAGTGGTGTCTAGTTAAAAGCAATAAAAAAAAAAAAGAGAGAGAAATTAGAAAGCAGATGCTTAAACTCACAGGATCGGGAGAGCCAGAGTTAGTGTGGATAATCATCACATTTGAAGAAAATGATGGCAAATCTGGAGCTAGATAGCAAAGTGGAGCTTTTCAAGAGTGAAGAAAGAGAGCAAGGAGGAAATGAGACCCCCCAGTCTTGGCCCCGAGGGAGCAGGTATAGCTCAGAGAGGGTTTGGGCCATAATCCTAAAAGACATCATCCCAAACAGCATAATCCTGAAGATCAAAATCCCTAAAGTCAAAAGTCCCAAAATGTCAAAATCCTCAAAATATAATTCTGATAAAAAGAATTCTTTTAAACACATTTATTTACATTTTTAAAGGGGGTTTATCTGAGAGACAAAGATACAACAGGATTCTGCGTAGGCCACTTTAAACAATAAAATAGGCAATAATCACACACACAACATCTTTGCAGGCAGAGATTCTCAGGTAAATATGGAGGACAGCACGTAACAGTTACGAGCTGACAAAGCATATTCAGAGACAAACAGGTGAAAAAGAGAAGTGGAGAGCTGCGTATCATGGCCAGTAATTGGGTGCATCGGCTTTATAATGGAGGTCACCTCGGCGCCATGATGGACATTTTAAGTCTTTCGATACACTATTAAAGACGGCCTTGGGTCGCCATTGCACATGCTGAGATCTTGAGACATTTTGTCTTTCACGAATGCTGATGGACAAAAAGGACAGCTCTTCCTTCATTGAGGAAGTTTCAACCTGTTTACACACGATGCTTAGCCATTGCGATAATGCATGGTTTAGCCTTAAATTTGTAAAAATTGGACAAAACCGATTAGCACTCTCTAAACATCTTTACACAATTTATTTACACCCGGTACTGGCAATGATTTGTAGATGAAATAGCAAATTCTAAAAAACTGACCATTGAAAATAGTGAGAAAACATATTTTAAAAAAGAAAACTCCAAATCCCTTCCCCAGAATTAGGCTTTCTACCTCTCTTAGTTTTTTTTCCTTTTTTTTTTTTCCCCATGGAAATTGGGGTTTCCAGAATTTTATCTTTCAGGATTTCAACATTCAGCATTGCAATCTTTTAGGATTATGATCTCCAAATTTTAGACATTAGAGATTTTAGACTTTTGAGGATTTTGCTCTTTCGGAATTTCAGCATTAAAGATTGGCCCTTTAGAATTTGGAGCAGCAATGGGCAAGTGACCCAACTCATCCACGCTCAGAAGCAGGGATGCTGGCACAGATGGCAAGGCGGCCCTGCCACTTCCAGCAGGTGGTTTCTCTAAACCCCAGGAGTGTGAAACAGAGTTTAACTACTTCCACTTCACCCTTGCCCCTGTGAACTCTGATGGATGTGACACTTGGCAGATATAAAAGCCCATAACAGGGACCAGCAGATGGTGTAATGGTTACATTGCTGGACTCCCACATAATAGACCACAGTTCAAGTCCAGACCCAGTGGCTAAAAACACACGTGTGCATGCATGCCCAAAATCCCAAGAAGAGAATGGAGAAGGGATTGCAGCATGGCCATCCCCCCTGGGGAGTGATTTCTTGTTCTCTCTCTATCTCTCTGGTGAGTGCATGTACCCTATAGCAAAAATCTCTCTCAAAAAAATAAATAAATAAAAAGACACACAAAAAAACATAATAGAGAAAGGAGAGAAGGCAAATCATCAGACCTGAAGACAGAGTACATGCAGATTCCTGGCCCTGGGATAGGGGTGGTCTGGTCATACATGTGGCTCAGGCCTTCATCTCAAGTGGGAACCATCTTCCCAGGTCGGCCGAGGTGCGCAGTGGGCTGCTCCAGTGCAGTGTGCTATTTTCGTCCAAGTTGGGTAACCTTGTAGTTGTGGACTTTTCAGATGACCAGTTTGTCCCTGACTCAAGATTTGTTTCTTGGGACCAGCAGTTAGCGTAATGGCTATGTCGCTGGACTCTCATGTAGTCAACCACATTCGAGTCCCAGACTCGGTGGCTTAAAACTCACACCGGGCATGTGTGCGTGTGTGCCCAAGATCCTGAGAGGAAAATGGAGGAGAAGGGATTGCGGCGTGGTCATCCGCCTTGGGGGGTGATTTCTCGCTTTCTGTCTGTCTCTCTGTCTTTCTGGGGAGCGCATGCACCCTATAGCAAAAACCTCTCCCCCCCAAAAAAAAATTGTTTCTTGAGGGAAATTTAGTTGTGTTGTATTTCTCTTTTACCATAGTCCAAAATCGAAGACATTAGACTAGAACAAGAAAAAGAAGCTGAGAAGTCAATTCGACTTCACTTCCAAATGGAGCAGATTGTCTACTGCCAGGACCATGTCTACAGGAGTGCATTACAGAAGGTCAGGGAAAAGGAAACAGAAGAGGAAAAGAAGACTAAAACACCAGTGGTTACCTTCTCTCAACAACTATCTTCAACAGAGTCTTCCATGGCTGAAATCTTTCAGCACCTGACTGCCTACCAACAGGTGAGTCTGCCTGTCTCAGAGGCAGTTTCATTTTGTTTCTTTTCCTTCTGAGTGCTCCTCTCTTTAGCCTGGTACTCTGTAGGGGGACTACGGATCAGCACAACGTTTTACCCTTATGAGAAGAGGTTGTGGCTCAGAGCCATTGACATCTCATTTTGACTGGTGGAGTGGCCCTGGCTAAGTTCCTTAATCTCTCTGACCCCCAGTTTTCTTTTCTGTAAAATGATATCTGTTCATAGTGAATTTTCTGTAAGACAAGTGAAGGTAAGTCCCTTAGTGCAGGGTTGGAATACAGAGGCAGATGGCTCACCAGTTGGAAGCTACTTTCTGGAGACACATGCTTTGACTGTTCCTACACATTTCAAATATTGTGAAATACAACCTAACTCATGCTGGAGAAGGAAGCAGTCAGCACAGGTACAACTCAGGTGGGACCATTGGAGTATGTCAAATCTGGACAGGTAAAGCAAATCCTGACCTTTCTCTCTGTCACTTCACTATCTGGGTGTACTAAGGCAGTGCTTCTCAAATGGACCATGCATTTAGCTGCTTGGGGACCTTGTTGAAATGTAAATTTTTTTAACAGTTTATTCATTTTTTTTCCATGACAGAGAGAGAGAGAAGCACTCCCAACGGAGTCTTCATGCCGTGACCCAGCCTCAGTCTTAGCTAGCCCAGGCCACTGGTGCACACGTGCACCCAGCATACTTAAGGAGGCACTTTTCCTATGTGTGCATGACTGCCCAGCTTCAAGACATAAATTTGACTGCAGGTCTGGGATGTAGAACACAGGTTCGACATTTCCATTGACCTCCAAGAAGAGGCCCATGCTGCTGCATGGAGTCAACACTTGGAGCAGCAAGGCTCCAAACCAAAGGTTATAAGAGGTGCACACATGCAGGTGAAACCAGCAAGGAAAGACTTCCCCTGCAGCAGAGCTTAAATTGTCTGTGGATACTGCCTTCTAGAACAAGCAGATCCTTTCAGAGTAGTCCAGGCAGGCACATGCACAAAAGCCAAATCATAAAATGAGTGACAGTGGAAAATGAATCTCCCACTAACCCTATCTAGGCCATGCAACTATTCTCTCAGACATAGCCGTTCTGCGGGTTCTTTCACAAGGGGACTTTATAAAGTTTCTGGAAAATGGAATTAAATTACAAGTCTGTTTTGGTGCAAAAATTTTTTTTAAATCCACGTGTAGGTTTTTTTTTTTCTGTTTTTTTTTAAATCCACGTGTAGGTTTTTTTTTTTTTCTGTTTTGTTTTGTCTTGTTTTGTTAGAGGTTGTGACTCTCTCACCAGAGAGCGAGAGAAGGAGAGAAGAAAGCACTCCCCATGGGGCATGGTTATCCCACAATCCCTTCTTCATTTCTCCCTTCTTTCAGAATTTTTGGCATGTATGCACACATACCCAGTGTGTTTCTCAAGCTGCTGCATTGGGACTTGAACCACACTGTTGACCAGGTGCGATCTTGCTCCCTTAACCAATAAGCCATGGACCTGGCCCATATAGTTCTCTTTAATACATATTTTCCATGAGCTTTTTGAAGACGCCCATCACCACCACCACCCAGTGCCATCCATTATCTGGGGCCAAATCTCCACATTGGAGAGCTTATGTGCACACCATTATCAGGTTCACACGAAGGTAACAGGGGGCATGTACTTCTGCACCTTGCTTCTTTGTACCTTGAAGCTTGTTCTGCTTCAATACAGATGAAGCCACCTCATTATTCATGGCTGCTGAGGATCCCATTTTATGGATGTAGCATATTGAGCTGGTCTTCTGTTTATGGACATTAACAAAAGTTTGTTTGAATAGACTAGCTTGTTTCTAGTCTTGCTAACACAGAAATGTCGTGGTGAATAACTCATTCATACGCGCATATCTGGAAGTACCAATTTCTAAAAATGCGATTCCTTATCAGGGTTATGGCAGGGAAATAGCCAAAAGGAGATTATATATATGCATATATTTATTTTTTTTCTTGTTTTCCCTCAAGGAATTGGCTGATGTGATTGTGGGACTGACAATCCAAAATTCTAGGGCAGACCAGGAAGGACAAGGCTGGAGCCTGGGCAGAAACAGGCTGAGTCCACAGGCAGGATTTCTTCTTCCTTGGGGAAACCTCGGTTTTGCTAAGGACTCACAACTAAATGTATGAGCCTTTTCCCTGCCACCCACACACATGATTGAGGCTATTCTCCTTTAATTAGAGTCGACTCACTGTAGATATTAACCACATCTACAGATGCCTCCACTGTAATGTCTAGGTTCTAATTTGGTTGAATGTCTGAGGACACCAGCCTGGCCAGGTTGATACGTGAAACTCATCATCACACCTAGAAAGAGGATGGTGCTTATTTTACATTTATAAATCTTACCTTTACATTTAAACCTATAAAGGACTTGCCAATTTTGTTTGCACTGAAGTTATTTTTCATAGTTTGCACTAAAGTTATTTTTGATAGTCTAATGGGTAAAAAATGGTATCTGTTGCTATTTGATTTGCAATTTTATTGTTATTTAATTTGGTATTTAATGTAACAAGGAAGTAGAACATTTTTCATATGTTTGTAGTGGTTTCTATTTTTTTGCCCAGCACACTGTGCATCCAGTAGGAGCTCTTTGTACAGAGGGATATGGGACCTTGGTGACTTGTATGCACATACTCTACTGCCATTGGCCTTGTGACTTTACACATGACACTTAAGACCATGCTGATTCTTTCTATCTGGATGTGTGGGTCGGATTGAAAAGTTGTTCCTTTGGGGGCTTCTTTGTTTTTTGTTATACTTTTGTCTCTCTATGATTACAAACAAAGTCTACAATATTCTAAGTAATTTCTCTTTTCAGCTTTTATATTTAAATTTTTGATGCATTCAGTATTATTTGGTTTTCAAGATTGAGGCAGGATGACTAGCAGTCATCCCAGTACCATCGCTGGACGCCATCTTGTCCCACTGATATGCAGCACACCCCACCACACACTGTTCCCTGTGCACGTTGGTCTTTTTCTGGACACTGCCTTTAGTCCTATTGGTTTGGTTTCATCTATCAGTGTTATCACAATCATATCAGTATGTCTTTATGTGTATTATGTTTATGTTGTAATATCTAGTACAGCCATTGCCTCATCCCTGTCCCCACTTTTCTTTCTTTTCTTATTATAGTAATATAAATATTATCTGTTTAACCCTTTTTTAAAAAGTTTTTGCTATATTGTGTGTGCTCACCAGAGAGAAACAGAGGAAGAGTGTGAGAAATCAACCCCCCTGGGAGGATGGCCATGCCACAATCCTTTCTCTTCCACTCTCCTCTTGGGATTTTGGGCATACATGCACATGTGCCCAGCATGATTCTCAAGCTGCCAGGTCCAGTACTCAAACCATGAAGCTGACTGTGTGGGATCCAGTGCCTTAACCTCCACTCCACCTGCTGCCCCAACTTTAACCATTTTTAAATACCATAATTCAGGAGTATTAAGTATGTTCACACAGTTGTGCAACCCCACCTTCCATCTCCGGAACTTTGTATCTTTTGTGCATGTGCTCTTTCCCATTTGAACACAATCTTCCCAGGCTCCCCCGCTGCCCCCTGACAACCACCATTCTATGTTCCATCTCTGTAGATTTGACTACTCTAGGAACCTCACAGAGGTAGAATTATATAGTATTTTTCCTTTTGTGACTGACTTATTTCACTGTGCATAATATCTTCAAGGTCATAGCTATCAGAATTTCACTTCTTTTTAATGGAATGATACTCCATTGCCGTGTATATACACTTTTTTTAAAAAAAGGATTATTTGTTTAACTTTATTTATTTATTATTTTAATTCACCAGAAAGAGAAAGAAGAAGAGAGAAAGTGAGAGAGCAAGTTGCCAGGTCTGGGACTTGAACCACGGTCAGCCATGTGGGAGTCCAGTGCTTTAAATACCATGCCACCTGTTGGCCCCCATACCCTTTCGATCTATATATGTAATGTATAATGTATCAATGGACATTTGGTTGTTCCACCTCTTGGCTATGGTGAATAGTACTACTATGGGTGTGCAAATATTATACTTCTTTTAAGGCAGCATTTTTCTTTCTGTTTCTGTTTGTTCCATCCAGTGTTAATATAAATTTTTAGAGTTAGCTCATCTAGTTTCTCATGCAAAAAGAGAACTGTTGGTGTATTTATTGGGGTTATATTCCACTTAAATTTCTTATGGCAAGGATTGGCATCTTTATGACATCAAGTCTCCTATCCAAGAACATCATGGGACTTTCTGTTTTTAAAGTCTTCTTTCAGAGGGTTTCAGGGATATTTTAAAGTTTTCTTTGGGAATATGGTACAAATTTCTGAGGTGAAAGCCTACATGTTTTCTCATTGTTGTCCCTAGTGTAACAGGGTCTTTTTGTCTATTATATCTTCCATTTTGGGGTAATGATTTCTGCATATGAGTTTTATAACCAATTCACACATCAATGACACACTCATACCAGGAGTGACTTTCTTACTATTAGTTTCATAGCTGATTCTTCTGACTTTCACAGTGAATATCTCACACTGTTGGTAAACACTGATTGTTTTTCTCTCACCTCCCCACTTCCAATTTTATACCTGAGAATTCCTTTTTTTCTTTTTTCCCTGTCTGGTCCTTTAGTATGATTGGAAACAATGGTGGAGACAGTGGGCATGCTTGTCTAGTCTCTGACTTTGCTGAGAATGCTACTTTCCCCCAGGAAGCATGATCTTCACTGGGGTAAAAACCAAGGCATTGGCAGCCCTGCGTTCCTCTTTGGAGGCTGTTAAGATAGCTGTCCCCTTGGCTTTTCCAGCATCTAGAGACCATTCACGTTGCCCAGTTTATGTCCCCTTGCTCCCTCTTAAAAGCAAGGAACCGTGCATCTCTGACCTTCCTACACAAAGTCTCCCTGTGATAGTTCCTGCAAAGTTGGCCCGTGTGTGAGTTTGGGTGTGAATAATCTTCTTGGTTGGGAAGGACTTCTCCCTACATCTGGGTTGGGAAGGACTTCTCCCCAAGACTTGTCAGGACTTGACCCTGTCAGGGAAGCATTTTTCCCTCTCCGTCAGATATGAGCTGTCCCTCTCCACACTTCTGTCCCTTCCTCCTGTGGCCTCTGCCTGACCACCACATTTTGCTACATGTGGTTGTGGGGCTGCAGATGATCTTCCCTCTTGTTCGGCAAAAATGGAGGGTTTGACATTGTTCCTGTTTGACCTGTTGGTTTGGATGCTTTCTGGAAGAAGGAGAAAGTGAATTTGCAGCCATGTTTAGATGAGAAGTCTCAAAAGGTATTGCGGGTGTCTAATTTTTGTCTCTGTAGATATCTGCTATTTCTTTCAGCTTTGTGTTCATTCTCTGACACAAGGCTCCCAGTACATTGCCCCACCATTGGTCCCAGATGCCTGTCCTTTGTCTGCTTCCTCCATGCCCGTTTGGTGGCAGCCATGCCCTCACTCCTGGTCCTGGAACCTGCAGCACATGTTTGGCTGTCTCACTGTCTCCTTAACAGTCACTGAGTGCTTAGTCCTGCCTGCCATCTTTCTAAACTTGTATCTTTTTTTAAAAAAAATCTATTTAATTTTATTTGTTATTATTTTTTAGTTTGATCAGAGAGAGAGAGAGAGGGAAAGCGAGAAAGCAAGTTACCAGGACTGGGACTTGAACCACGGTCAGCCATGTGGAATTCAGTGCCCTTAACTACCACGTCACCTGCCGGCCCCTAAACTTCTATCTTCTAACTCATTTAAACTTTTGAACTATCCCATAATGTCAGTGCTAACATCACCCCTGTTTTATAGAGAAAAAAACTGAGGCACGAACGTGTTCAAGTACTAGGATATGTCACCTTTCTGAAAGAGCCA